CTATCCATCCCATTCCACCCTACCCCACCTCATCTATCCATCCACCCTTCCCCATCCATCTATCCCATCCCACTCTATCCTATATCCCATCCCATACCACCCCACTCCATCCATCCATCCATATCCCATCCATCCCACCCTATCTTATCCTAATCCTATCCTATCCTATCGCATCCCATCCCATCCCACCCTATCCTATCCCATTCCACTCTATCCCATCCATCCCATCCCACCCCTCCGCAGTCACCCTTCAATGTCCCCCAAGTCCCTCGTGTCCGGCTCACGCTGGTCCCGGTGGCCACCTCGTGGCTGTGGCCCAGGGACCCCCTGTCCCTGGTGGCCTCCCTGGGACATCCCTGTCCTCCCAGGGACATCTCCAAGGTCTTTCCTCCCTGGGACATCCCTGTCCTCCATCGGACATCCCTGTCCTCCCTGGGACATCCTTGTCCTTCCTGGGACATCCCTGTCCTCCCTGGGACATCTCCAAGGCTTCTCCTCCTTGGGACATCCCTGTCCTCCTTGGGACATCCCTGTTCCTCCCTGGGACATCCTTGTCCTCCCTGGGACATCTCCAAGGCTTCTCCTCCTTGGGACATCCCTGTCCTCCCTGGGACATCCCTGTCCTCCTTGGGACATCCCTGTTCCTCCCTGGGACATCCCTGTCCTCCCTGGGACATCTCCAAGGCTTCTCCTCCTTGGGACATCCCTGTCCTCCATCGGACATCCTTGTCCTCCCTGGGACGTCTCCAAGGCCTCTCCTCCCCGGGACATCCCTGTTCTCCCTGGGACATCCCTGTCCTCCCTGGGAGATCCCTGTCCTTCCTGGGACATCCCTGTTCCTCCCTGGGATATCCTTGTCCTCCCTGGGACATCTCCAAGGTCTCTCCTCTCTGGGACATCCCTGTCCTCCCTGGGACATCCCTGTCCTCCCTGGGACGTCTCCAAGGTCTCTCCTCCTTGGGACATCCCTGTCCTTCCTGGAACAGCCCTGTCCTCCCTGGGATATCTCTGAAGCCTCTCCTGCTTGGGACATCCCTGTTCTCCCTGGGACATCCTTGTCCTCCCTGGGACATCTCCAAGGTCTCTCCTCCCTGGAACATCCCTGTCCTCCCTGGGACATCCCAAGGTCTCTCCTTTCACCCTCTCCAGGTCATCCGCGCTTCTTCAACCAGCTGTTTTCCGGCTTGGATCATCACGCCTTGGTGGGACGCATGATCACGGAGACCCTCAACACCAGCCAGTGAGCGCCCGGAGCCCGGGAGGCTCCATAGCACCCAAGGAACCTCCGTAAACAACGGGAATTCGGGAGGGCTCTCCCTTCCATCCAGAGGTTTGGAAGCGGGAGCATCCCGCGGCGCATCCGACTCCGGCTCGCGCTTCCAGGTACACGTACGAGATCGCGCCCGTGTTCGTGCTCATGGAAGAGGTTGTCCTGGCCAAACTGCGGGAGCTGCTCGGCTGGAGCGGCGGCGACGGCATCTTCGCTCCGGGTGCGCGAATGCGGCACCCTTCCCGTCGGAATTCCCGGGATGGGGGGCTCATTCCCGGCTCTGGGATGACACGGCCGGGGGGGTTTGTCCCCTCGCAGGTGGCTCCGTATCCAACATGTATGCCATGAACGTGGCCCGATTCCGACGCTTCCCGGAGAGCAAGCGGAAAGGGAGCTGGGCCCTGCCGCGCCTGGCGCTCTTCACATCCCGGGAGGTACCGGGAATGCGGACGCTCCGCGCCGGGATGCGCGCGGGAGCGTTTGGGAGCGCTCCGTGACCCGCTCCATTCCCAGAGCCACTACTCCATCCAGAAAGGAGCCGCGTTCCTGGGCATCGGCACCGACAACGTCCGCCTGGTCGGCACCGACGGGAGGTGGGAACGCCGGGGCGTTCGGAACCGGAGCGCGTCCCGGCTCCGCTCCGGCGCCCAATCCCGCTCGTGCCCTTCCCTTCCAGGGGGAAAATGCTCCCGGAGGAGCTGGAGAAGGAGATCGAGCGGGCCAAGGCCGAGGTGGGGCGGGCAGGGG